CGTGTCCGTCGAGAAACCCTCCGCACGAAAAGTACCCATCGTCGCAGTGTTCCTCCACAGCTCCTTGCGCTTCTGCTTGCTCGCCCTCACCGACCCACTCCTGCAATGGTAGATCCACACCATCTTCAACAAGCATGTCGGTTTCGCTGCAGCTATCGCTGTTGCTATCGCGGCCGCCGTCGCTGCCTGGCTCAGCGGTGCACGCAGCAGCAGGCACCGCACTGCTGTCGTCCTCTTCAAGCAGTGGTTCCGCCGCACGTTGCGTCTCCGAACTTTGAGGTAATGACTGCTGTGACTGCTGCTCCGCTCCACGCGTCAGCCAGCCGGCCATATAGCTCGCCATCTGACGTTTCGCAGCCCCTAGCGCAACCTGTCTGCGACGGCTGAGAGTCTGCCGACAAGGTCCCTCCGCACGCCGAGGCGGCGCAACCTCGCGAACCCAAGACAGTGCGGCGCAAGCTGCTGGAGACTCACCGAGAGCAGCAGCGGACCCGAAAGACAGTGTGGCCTGACTTCCACCCGAGGCGGCACCGGCGTCTTCGTCGCACCAGGCTTCGTCGTGGTCGTCGTGTGGTTCGTCAACGACTTCCATCGGAGAAGATGTGCTGTCGTCCAATGGCTCGGGAGCAGCGACAGCTGGTTCATGGCTCTGAAATTTGCCTTTGAACCTGCCTCGCTTTGGTGGTCTGCCACGTTTCTTCTTCGTGTCCATGACTGCTGCGGGTGCTGAGTGCCGCAGTAGGGCGTATGGGCGAGGGCACACCCTCGCACAAGCGCTGTGTGTGCGTGCGTGTGTGCGTGCGTGGCAGGAACAAATCGCCGCCCATCGGCAAAACAAAATGCCGAATATCTCGCGAACCAGATTTTTTTCGGAAAATCGGAAAAAAAATTCCATCTGGGGAATTTCGAGAGGAATCGATTGCCGTGGTCTTTTTGAAGCTCTATGGTTGAATGTCGGAGGGAAAAAGTGAACAAAATGGTCTCTCTAATCCAGTTTTTCGGCGAAAACTTCATCAATTTTTGCTGAAATCGAAATCGGAAAAAGAATCCACCTGGGGAATCGCGAGAGCTGTCGAAACCCGGTCTCATAATTGTGGTCTGACAAAAGCCCACCCCAGGAAAAAGTGAACAAGATTTTCCGGTTATTTGCAAAGAAATCGACAACAAGAAAAAAAAAAACTTTCCACAGGGACCTGCACCTGGAAACAGGGCGTTTGCCGGTACTTTCGGTTTTGCGAACAACCACCTGGGTGCAGAGAAACAATTCATAAAGTGGGTGTCGCAATTGTTGATATTGGGTCTTGGACTGACCATACCTAGCTTCGCATGCTCAGCGCAAAACTGCGCTTTCTTGCTGTGGACTTCGCCATACGATGGCCATTTAGTACAGCCATGCTCGTGGCAGCGATGACAGCTGAACAACACGATTCCGAATGCGGTCGAGCAGGAGCCACATTCTAGAGTTTGAAACACGTCATTATCTCAAGAACCACGCAAGCGACACTGGGCAATACAGCGAGCGATATATCAATGGATGCATCACACAACTCCGCTAAAGGATCTCCATGTTCCATTGTAGATTGTTCTGTGTACAATGGGCATGGATGTAATCAATGCGAGCTGATAACTCGCGGTTACTAGGAATTCCGCGTTCAAGATCAAAACTGCAATCATCTACACATCCTTATCACATGATATTTCCATCGTTTTTCGGAATCTACCCTGTGTGTGTTGCCACGGTAGAAGCAGCGGTCGGTGTTCCACCACCAAAGCCATGTACGCACCGCTCTTGGACACGTTTGTACTCCTCATTTGCAAACCCATAAAAAATAGTTCGGTGCTGAAGATGATTGGTTGTCTCTCACGCGAGAACGCCATCGACAAGCCTCAGACTGAACGTCTTGGCCGTCAGCTACTTGGAGTATGCGGTGCAGACGGTGCTTCAAGCATGTTCTCCTCCCCCAATACCTCCAACCGTTTGGCTTCTAACCAAAGGCTTTTGCCGCGCATCACATACTGGAAAGACGGCATGTTGAGGAATGGGAGACCTTTGCCTTCCTTATTCACATGCACTCAGAACACACCCTGTTCCGCTATACACTTATAGAGTTCGTGGCACGAAGTGATCGTGGTATCTGAAGACTGGATAACACTTTCGTCGGTGCTCGATTCCGCCAGCTGTGCGTTACTGATGAGCTGCCCGGCAGCATTTTTTTCTAACCCTTCACCACCGACAACTAGTACCAATCATGCGTTGTTCGGAAAGCCCGCAAAGAGTCAGTGAAGTGCTGGACGAATCTGAGGAGAGCATGCACTCGCCAAACGCATAATCATGACGTACTCGAATAGAAGCACTACAGGAACAAACCTCCCACAGAATTCACCGTCTTGTGTGTTGCCGCCGTCCCACCGCCCATTGTTCCTGGTGCGGACGCCTTCCGTTGGCGCTTGGGTGACGCTGTTGAGGGACTGACCATCGAACACCGATATATACCGACGCGAGAGAAAATAAAACAACGGGGAGGGGTCAGAACGGCAAGATGACATCACAATTGCGGAACAGTGATGAAACCATGGAACGGGACATTCGTCAAAGTCGTCCCTCTATTCCGGTTCCCCCTCATGATGTGAAAGCAAACTGCCCGTGGACGTGACGGGTTCGGTGTAGGTCATATTCTGTTTGCCGATGTTCCCAACGGCTAGAGCTCTCAGCTGCCATGAACAAGGTGTGAAAGCTAGACGAAGCAATCAAATCTGGAGAGGTACGGTGACATGGTGCTTCGATCGAGGTGATTCTCGATGTTGACATTGAAGATGGCCATGGTTGGATTTGCCCAGCGGTGGACCATGGATCAATCTGCTGGTTAATTTTCCCCGGCGCGATAGAGAGGGGGACAGAAAGTCATCTACTGAAAGATGAGGGAGATGGTCTTCAATAGCCTGTCTTTTTTTAAAGAAGGGGGGGGGATTGGCATTGGCCTACGGGAGTCAAAAGGAATCAACAGGCGACAGCAGGGTCAGCACGGTCAACCCATGACTCCGCTGGATACATGCTTTCATCAAGCGTGAAATGAAACTGATGTATAGGCCGATGCCCATGTCCCCCACCCCGTGGCATAAAAGGCCAGGGTGAATACCCTGACGCGGCTAGTTTTGCCTGCCATGGCACAAAACGCTTCGTTGATATTCCTGCCCGGACGGGAAACCTGACCCTTCCATCTGCAGTGTTGTTATGTCGGGGTTATTATGGTTGCTTCCCGGGGACAGGGTTGCCAAATTTCAGAACGGCTTGCTAATCATCACCAAACAATAGGGCCACACTACACGCCTCGATTGGCGCTTTGTTGTTGGTAGATATGTCAACCTGTAGAGCTCAAACAGGAGGTGATCTTCGAGGGGTGCGGCAGAGAGGAGGATCGTTCATTGCCATTGCAGCAGGGTGCCTCCCACCAATGCCCATCCTAACCCAAAATGTCTCTTTGTCATGTCCCGCTATCAGTTTGTTCCTTTTTCGTTTCCTCCCCGCCACCTTGTCTCGATGTTTGTGATTTGCGGGGCCCCGCCAAAAGAACGGTTTGGTAAAATACTGTGAAGACGGCCCAAATCCACCTGTCATGTTTTCAAAATTCCCCATCCAGGAGGCGGAAACAGCAGGCCTTCTCGACTCTACAGGAAGCCTCCGACACCAGCTGGTCTGCCCAAAGCTTGATTCGAGTCGCACGGCCTCCCGTCAAACGCTGATACGTCCCGAAAACCGGGATGCTCAACCAGAGCTGCCTCCAAGGCACCATCTCATGTGACCCAGACTGCGACGTTCTGCAAAAGACCATAGGCGACTTGTCGCTTAAGTGTGTCAAGTAATCTCTGTGGTGGTCTGTTTCAGTAGTCCAAATTGACCCAGGACCCAGGTTAGCGACAGGTGAAAGTTTGCCAAACCGCCTACCTGGGGACGATGTGGGCAATATCCCCATATCGGGGAAACGCCTGAATACTCAGGGCGAATTTTTCCAACGCTGTTTTCCCTACCCAGAACACCACACACATTCATTACCCATCACTGCTTCAGCGGGAAGGACTCATCATGACTGCTACTCCGACGCGCCTTTACACGTGACGGTATTGGGCTGTAGTGGCGTCGGTGCCGGAAAAAAAATAAAACAAATGAAAAACAACATCCCGGCAAACCAATACTTGTGTTACAAGCTAATTGCATTGACCGCGTTACCGGGCGATCAACATGTCTGTCGCACAGCCGGATGCAATCCCAAGCACGCCTTCCAGTCATCGGGCGTACCCGACAAAGTGTGCTGCGTGCGGTTTCGTTATGGCGCTTCGATTCACTCTGGGCATCGGCAGTACGAGTAGTAGCAAGATACAATCATGCTTGTTCTTGCGTTAGCGTTGCGTCCCAATCGCTTCCTATCTGCTGCCTACATGTAACTCGATCGTCCGCTCGAGGGGCTCACGGCTTCGAGCCTAACGTTTCTATTGGACTATGCCGTGTCCTCTCGGGGGAATAGGTCGACCTGCATAAAAGCACCCCAGGCCTGTTCATGTTGCCTAGTCGTCCCGACACCGACAACAACTGAGCTTCGACGGTGTGCTGGCCTCACCGTAGTAAACTTATGAGAAACCTGCTTGGAATTGCAGGGGCGCGTGGAGATAAGGCCAAAGCGTACCTCTGTCGTGCAGAATGTGCATCGCTCATTCTCGTCCCGCCAATATTCTTCAACTAACAGAATATCACACCAATTGCACATAGTCCCAGGCCGTTCTCACGCACCCAGACTTAAAGATGAGTTGGACAAGCCTGCGAACACAAGCAACGAGGAGGAAATCTCCGTGGGTTATGAGGGGTACGGATAAACGGTTCCAGGTTGGATTCGTATTGTACCCTCATACTGGTCACAGAAGTTGATTTAGTTGCAGAACGTGGTGCTTATAGCGGTCTGGTCGATAATCTCGTAAACCTTCTCTCTATCTAGGTCACGGGTTCAAATCTTTTTGACACATTCATCACTCAAATGTTTTTGGTGAACCGCACAAGTAATGAGTACCCACAACAATGAACGAAGGCGCAGCGGACCCCTTCCCGCGTTAAACGATGAAGGCCAGCACCTTGCGAGGCGACTTGTTTTTCGTCTTAAGTGACTTCCGGGTTGGTGTATCAAAGTCATGCCAAAAAGACATGAACGGCGCCCAGAACATATGGGATGAACAAGGCAAGTTAACGAGCGACTGGCAAGATCTTCTTGGTACGTCTTAGCATGGAGACCACTCCCTCCGGTGGTTGATGTCTCCCTCAGAGTGTGTTGATTATTGCGTCAGCTCATGACCACAAAAACGTCGTGGATTGCCGTGAGGGGTGGACATAGGAAATTATCGGTGGAGCTACGAGCGATATTTCACTTCATCACAAGAACAACAGCAACAGCAACGGCAACTGACCAACAGCATTCTAGGTGTAGACCCCAGGCTCGCCCGCTGTTTCCCAGGCCAGAGCGAGGGGGGAGGCGTGTCTGCGGACAGAACCGTTGGTGTTTGACAATTCCCCCTCAGGTCGTGAAATGACAAGAACATCTGCAGCAGCCCTCTATTCGGTCGCGGGGGCTACATGGATATGAACGAAACCTTGTTGAGAACGCGCGCGCTTGATGACCACCCACGGAACAGATAAGCGTGTGTGGTCAAAACAACAAACCAACCCGTGCACTCGCCTTTTGGTCTGGTTTTGACCTCATCACCATCACCTCCCCAATGACAGACAAAGTTATTGCATTCTTTTGACCGCGGGCTTCCCTGACGGCGTGTGAGACACGCAGACCAGTACAAGCACCATGTACACCCGACAACCAGAGGGTGGACAATAAAGAGCGGCGGGGTGAACGTTCGTGTGTGAGCGCTTTCAACAACCACTCGCAGTGTCGGCAGATGCCATGGAGCGTATATTGTATCGTGTCCCGAGATGTCGGCGGCTTGCGGCCGCCTGAGAGAGATTCCCTTTCTCTCTGATCTAGTCTGAACGTCGTCGTCGTGGTCTAGACGCTTTCCACCCTCTAGGTAGCTTTAAACAGTCATCGTAGAAATGGTTGAAACCAACTCCAGGCGGAGGCTTTACCAACGGGCAGCACCGCAGATCTTGGGTAGAAGGTCTCGGAAAAATTATTGTTACCGCTTCG